GTCCACATCCTACTCAGGCAACCTAGTGGTGCTGCTTTCTGATTGGCTGAGTATTGTGGTCCTGTCTGAGATTATTAGATGGATGTGGTTGTGGTTGAGCGCAGGGACACACCTGCTGTTTCTATGGGAAATATGAGGAATGGGCCCGGGGGCAGTGGCTAGCTAGAGGCAGTGGTTGGGATCCCATCACATGGACATGCCTGCTGTTTTGTGAGAACTATGATTGAGTTTGGGGGCTTGTGGCATGGTTAAAGCCAGATTGTGTGGTTAAATCAGGACATGCCTGCTGTTCAGTGGGGCTCATAAGGAAATTAGAATATTGGGGCTGGGGGCAGCTTTATTAGGATTCCATCACCATTGAAGTTGTCCTTAGGCTAAAGAAGTTTGAGGACAATTGGTTTTAATCATGGTATGAGTGAGGCTGAAGTGTCTTCATGCATTTATTTCCCATGTGAGCCAGTTAACTTTTCATAGAGAAAAATCTCTTAGAGTGCTGGCCTGAACTGAGGGAGACACAAAGATAAGACAACCCATCTCCTCATACCTTTTTTTTGTATCACCAGCACTTAGCACAGTCTGGCACACAGTATGCACTTAATAATTGCTTAACAAATGACTTGGCTCATGAAAACTACTAAAAAGAGCAATTTGGCCCATACACATGGATAACTTACTCTGATAGATCTGAGATATGGCCAGTGGGGGTAATCTCTCTGACTAGACAGTTGGCAACCCAGCTGTGCTTGTCCATATTCTTGTGTCAATCAATGCTTCACAGGAAGTCCAGGATTGCTTGTGGACTTTGAAGGTGAAAGATAGGATTAGGAGAGGTACAATGAAGGCTAAGGCTCATCTGTCCCCTTGCTGCTTTCTGTTGGGTTTGTGACAGCCATGCAGTGACATAAAAGCATTCATTTTTGAGCGAGTTGATCAGCACCCAATTTCAGGGCTGAGGTTATAAGGACAGACAAGGGCTCAAGCAGACCCCAGGACAGAGACTCGAAATGAATGAGCCTGTGTTCCTGGTTGTCCATATAACTATTATAATGAAACCACTGAAGTTTCTATGGTACAATGTCTAATCCATTTATGAGTTAACTTCTATTCATATCTGGTTTCAAGAGAGAAGGAAGTTCTACAATAAAACACTTCTAGGCTAACTGTCCTTACCATTCCCATGCTGTGGCTGGGAGACTGAAGGGGATAGAGGGAGAGCTTAACCTAAAAGGTGTTCCTACTTTTGGAGAGGCATGATTCAAGGAGTGAAAAGAATATACAGTCTGTTGCATGCGGTTAATGCTTCTGCTTTTACTATGCAATTACTGATCTAATTAAACAACGTGCTTAAATGATAACTCTGAGTGAAGGTCAATAAAATGAAGCCACATGAAGGGAAGGCAAAGGAAAGGGTGTGGTCAAGTAAGTAGGAACTGAGTCAGAAACTCAGTGGGCCATACTCCTAGCTAAGAATCTGTAACATAATAGTGATGTAGCTATGGTGATGGAGGTGGTTGATAGATTTATGTTCTCTAGTCCGTACTATTGTAACTTCTAGACTCTTGGTTACACTTGTTTACAGATATAGATACCAATGGTGCATGGGGATGTCTATTGGTAAACTTTTACTCTGACTATACGACCATATCATCTTTTTTTTTTCCTAGTCACACATCTTTCTGATGGCATCCTTCACAGCATTCCTCTTTCACAATTCTTTGTTTATAATATATTGCTATCTGATTATGTCCGTTATGTATATCTCCATTATCTTTTTAGGTAATCTTGAACTTTAATTTTTCAGAGACTGTGGCACACAGATGTTAAATAATGTTATATATTATATATGCATATTATCATATCATAGTGTGTTATTATTATGTGTATTATATCATAATATATTATGAGGTATGCATGAGTATATGTATGAGTATAATATGTATTATGATGTATACATGAGGTCTGAAGAACAGACTTGTTGCCAGGAAAAGATTTTTTCTTTGGAGATATTATCTGGGTTGGACTTTTAAAAATGGATTAGAATTTGACAGATAAAGAGGGGGCAGGAGGACATTCTGGGCTTGGGGAATAGCCAAAGCAAAAACATAGAGGTGGGAGAACACAGGGCATGTTCAAAGAGAAAGAGAGGAGCTTAATTTTGTATCTGGAGGGGAATACTCTGAGTTGTGCCGGAAAAGTGGAATTGTATAAAACTGTGGAGGGCTTTGAATGCCAGGGAAGGATTTTGGATCTTTGTTGGCAAACCGTAAAGAATCACTGAAGATTTTTGAGCAGAAGAGTGATTTGATCAAATCTATATGATAAAGATAACCCCCATAGTGTTTGGGAAAAGATTGGACCATAGGGAGAGTGGTGATGGAAGAACATGTTAAGAAGTCATGGCCAAAAGCTAAAACCCCAAACCTGAGTTGGCTGCGTCTGAAAATGCATACTGGGTAATAGCAGGGACCAGCAGTAGGGTGTGTCCAGAGCAGCAGAAATCCACCTCTGTCTTTCCAGCCTTATTATGTATTACTCTACTTACTATTAAGAAGACACCTTAAAGTGGATGGGCCAGAGGGCCTTCCTCCACACCAAGACTTGGCACAGAGTACATAGGGTTGCATGGAACTCTCTTTCCTAGCCAGTTAAGGACATGGAGTTTCAAACTGATTTCAGCTGGTTATGTGCCCAGCATGATGCTGCCAGGGATAAAAGAGAAACATTGAGCGCTGCACATTAGTCCCTCGACGAGCAGGGACTTCAAAGCCTGGTTTGGAAATAAGATATGCACACATTAAACAATTAAGAAGCAATAATAGACAGCAGAGAATTAAATTAAGGGAGGCAGTCTGGGAGAGAAGAAAGAACACTGAAGTAGGAGCCTGTGTGGTAGTCCAGGCTTGGCAGCTAACCAGCTGTGAGGGGCCATGAACAGTCTCAGTTTCCTTCTCTGTAAAATGGAGGGGTTGGATTAGATTATCTCTAAGGTTCTTCTCAGTCCTAAAACTCTATGATCCAGAAGTGAGAGGGGAAGGGAAGAGAATAAACATTGACATAATGTTTATTATATAATAAACAGGCCAGGCACTGTGCTTAGAGCTTTACAAATATTACCTTATTTGATCCTCTCGACATCTCTGGGAGGAAACTGAGGAAAACAGAGGTGAAAGGCCTTTCCCACAGTTACATAACTAGTAAGTGTCAGAGAATGGATTTGAACTCAGTTCTTCCTGACTCAAGGCCCAGCATTCTACCTACTGTACCACCTTACTGACACAAATTTTCTGAGACTCAGTTTCTTTATGCACTAGATCATCTTTAAGTTTCCTTCTAGCCCTAGAAATGTATGAATCTTAGTCCATTTCAAGTGGAGATATAGTTTCCTTGTACTTCTAACATATGCCACGGATTCATAGCGTGTGTATGTGTGTGGTAGTGGTGGGGGGAGGGTCAGCCTAGACAATAACCCCATCCCATGTAAAATGAATGATACGACACTATACCCTGATATTTGGTAAGAAGGTATATTGATTGAATGAATCAATCAGAGCTTTGAGCCCGCTGTGATAGAAAGCCTGTTCAGATTGGTCAAGGGCTCACATCGTGTCCTTTGAGGCTTGTACAGAAATTTGAAGCTTGTTTGGAATTGAAATTTCAAGTGTCTGGTGGTAGAGAGGAAAGAGAGCCACTCTTGAGAAGGAATATCTTAGAGGGGAAGAGAATATCTTGGCCTTCTTCACCTCCAATTCCCCTTGACCAGAAGACCTAGTGAAATTTGGAGGACCAGAGGATTTGGTTTTTCCATTGGAGTCCTAGTAGCATCCCTAGGCCATCTGAGGCTAGTGGTGATACCTACATCAGAGGCTAAGGATGGATAGGATTGTTGTTGTTTGTCCTTCATTCTTGAAGAGGACCAATGTCATCAGGAGGGTGATATCTTGACTTGTAAATAATTAGATTTGAGAGAGGAAGGGCTATGTGAAATCATCGGCCTCACTCTCTCCTCCAGAATCATCAGAGTCCAGTGGCAAGACAGGTCAGGACTGGCAATGGCGCTCAGATTGGATGTAATGACTACAGTGTAGTGTAGGACTCCAGCAGAAGCACTTTCAGGCACTGCCTCTCTTGTCTCACATGATTTTTAGGTGTCAGCCCCAATTCCCCTAGACACTGTATGTACTTGTGAGTGAATGTGTCCCAGACTGTAGGCGAAAATGCTTTGTGCCAACTGTTCTATGATATTGTCTTAGTAAATATCCTTTTCTAAAAGCTAAAAGTCTGATTGATTAATTGATATAAACAGTAGTGGAGGAAGGAAGCACATGGGGGGTGGAGGGCAGGTCTTGTGAGTTTAAAATCCTGTTCCAACTACTCAGGATTAATCCTGGAACCCAGAGTGGTAAATATAGCAGCTATGCTCAGGGGACCTCATAAGCCTGTTCAAGTGTGGGTTTATTGTTCCAGAACTTGTGCTACAATAACATCATAGATGTCAAACTGAAAGACGTCAAGATTAGATTCAAGCTTAGAAATCATTGGGTCTAATGTCCCCATTTTTCTGATGGGAAAACTGAGGCCCAGAAAGGTTGAGTGATTTGCACACAGTTGCATGGCTGAGGTAAAATTCAAACCCAAGTCTTCCTGATTCCTTGTCCAATGTCCCGCTCTCTCACCTCATTCAGACTCTGTGGCTCATCCTAGAAATAGACCAGGCTAACATACTTTTTATTATGAAGATGAAGAGGCAGGGACCAGTGTTTCAATTGAGTTTTCCTATCATTGGGAATTAGAGAACCATCCAAGTTCTCTGGAATCTAGAGGAGACCTTTATTGTGAGAGTCATTGGGTAACAACAAGCAGGAGCATGAGGGGGAATTAATCTGGTGTAGAAATCAGGAAGCAAATGTTTATGTATTAAGGGGCAGTTGTCAAGATGAGGAATGAGGTTGGGAAGAGGTCCCTCTCAGTTTGCTCCTTTCATGCCAATTAAATAAATTCCATAGGCTGCAGTCTCAGGAATCTTAACCCGTGACCATCATGGGAGCAAAACTCAGAAACCAAGAGATTAAGAAAAAGGAGACTAATCATCACATGTCTTACCAGCTACAGAGCAGAAGGCAGATCTACAAGGAAGGTAAGGGCTCCACTTCTCCAGGTTTTTCTTCCTTTAATTTTGATACTCATTTTGGGAAACCCTATGTGAGCTCTGCTGACCATTCATCTTTTTTCACATAGGTTTTGACCTTCAGTGCAGTTTCTTTCCTGAGTTTGTTCTGCAGAAAAACGTAGACATTGAAGATAGTTCTCATTAGGTCTACAATTATGGAAATGTTTCTTTTCCCTCCTAGGCTTTTTCTTCCTCATCTCTCCTTGAAAAGGAGATCAGAGAATTGAGAGAATTATTTAGGTACCTTCTTGGAACGTTAGATGCTTTGCTCAATTTGACCCTCTTTTTTGCCACCCCACCTCTAACACATACTCCAGTTATTTAAATAATATTGAATAATGTAATTAAAATATAAATATTAATTAATAATGAGAATATTTAGAAGTTCTTTGAAAAACCTTAAAGTGTATCGTTACAAAGTCCCAAGGCCAAAGCACTCTCCTCTCTGCTAAGCTGTTCCTTCCTAGTGGTATCTCTCCTGTCCTTAAGCCTTAACCACAAGTACATGCTAGTAATTATCATTATTATAACATTACTATTGTTAATGTTACTATTATTAAGTTTTTAGTTGCTCATTGGTACAAACTATGCTGCTTACTTCCTAGGAGGTCTCAGGCAAAGATATGTACCCCTCTGTGGGCTCCTCATCTCCTCTGTAAGGGCGTAGACCAGATGATCTCTAAGGGCCTGCACAGGCAGTTTTAAGAGCTTCTCACAGTATAAGCGTGCCCTCCCCGGGCATGAGCACAACGCTTTTTGATTTCTTATCTAGTATGATGGTTGTTTATGACCTTCCATAAAATTCCCTGCAGCACACAACTCTTATTTAAGGTTAAAATCTTCTTACGTTTCAGTTTTATTAGAATCTGAGCATAAGGTATGGGTTTACAAGTACAAATTAATTTAATAGTAATTGATTTGAGATTATACAATTTAGAACAATGATATATAAGACCTGTCATTACATTATTCAGCTAAATATGGAAGTTTGGCTGTCATTTTTTTTGGGGGGGCAGGGAGACTAAGATATGTAAATTACCTTCATATACTTCATGGAATCGATCATTTTGTACAGTTAAGCCTCTTCCTTTTCTAGACCATTAGCTTCCTATTTAATGGCCATTAATAAATCTCCCCGTGGGGAGTGAATGATAGAAAATTACTAGAATTGTCAAAAGGGAAGATAAGCAAATGTTGTAGGGGGAAAAAAAATTCCACCTGCTATTCTGCTTTGATTTGGGGCTTTAAAGACTACTAAAAGTATAGCCCCTTAAAGTAGCAACAAAACCCATTCTTGGATCTGACTTATCTTGTCAGCTAGGTAGAACAGTGGACAAGAGCATTGTACCTGCAAGACCTGGGTTTGAATTCTGCCTCAGTCACCTCTTAGCTGTGTGATTCTAGGCACGTCATTTAACCTTTCTCAGGCTCGTTTTCTCATCTCTAAAATGGTGATAATCAAAGCACCTACCTCCCAGGGTTGTTGTGAGGATCAAATAAGATAATATTTGTACTGTGCTTTGCAAACCTTAAAATGCTAGTAAATGTTAGCTATTATTTTTAATAATTAAAATTCTCTCCTCTCCTCTATTATTTTTTAATAATTAAAAAATCCTCTCTTCTCTTTTCCTTTCCTTTTCTTCACCTACCTCCTTATTTCATTTACCAAATGTTTCCTCACAGTGCTCATGTGAGGCCGGGCACAAATTTTTCCCCCCATTTTCTTTTATTTTTAAAAGTTGACACATGTTGTTTTGCTACAGCAGAAGCTTCCCAACAACCATCCAAACAAACCCTGCTAAAAGTACATTTCTCAAAAACACAGTGAAGCAAAACCCCTAAAAGAATATCATCCACATGTTACAGACGAGGAAATGTAGACTCAGGGAGGTTAAGAGATTTTCCAAGAATGACGCAGCAACTAAATGTTGGGGCTACCACTTGAACGAAGGTTTTCTGATACTAAGACCATAGGGATTGACTCTTGAGTTAGTTCTGGTTTCAATAAATGATCTTGGTGTCATTCTTCCTGTTAGGTAACTTTTATTCTGCCTTCACAAGATGCCAAAAGAAAATGCCCACTTTATACATGCCTACCTCAAGAAAAAGAAGTCTCCTTCTCACATTACGGCAGAAGAGTAAGTCTAAAGCCCAACTCACACTTCCAGTGTGTAGTTTGTGGATGGGGGCTTATCCATCCCAGAATGGGTCTGCCTGTCCATAAATATGCTTTGTGTCTATTCCCACAGAACATGTGACACAAGGGGAAGAAACTTTCTGCTTAATTAAGTTAGGCAGACAGCCAGGTTCAGGATTGTTTGAGGTCAGATGCCGCCATCTAGGGTGAAAAAAGGTGGGCTTTGCATTTTTGTCTGAATTCCGTTTTATTGGAACTGAGTTCAAAGCTCCCAACATGGATGCTGTCTGGCTTTCTGATCTTGCCCACAACACGTGCTCTGAAAATCATTCCGCTCTGTCTAATGTAGTTAGGGTTTTGAAGGTGGCTTGGAGATGGAAGATAAGTGGTGCAGTATAGTGGAAAGAGCCTGGAATGAGAGTCAGGCTTCCTGGCTCCGCCACTTATCACCTGTATGACCTTGGGTAAATCATTCAACCTCTCTCTGCTTTAATTTCCTTATCTAGAAAATGAGCGGGGTCTCTTCTAATGCTACATACTATGAATTGCCCAAACCCAGAAATTCCAGAAATAGACTTATTTGGTGGTGGAATGGGGCAATGGTAAGGGTAAGAAATGGTGTCCACAAGAACAAAAGGGCAGATAGACTTTCCTTAGATGCATGTTGTTGGACATGGATTGAAACTAATGTATTAATTCAGGGTGAATAAAACAAGTATAATCTTCAAATGAACAGTAACCTTTCAGTAAGGGAAGAGCATCTTATGATAAAGAGAAACATCCGGGTGAGGGTGGAGATGGGGGAGTAGCAGAGAGGAACAAAACAATGTAGTACAATGAAGTCAACATTTATTCAAGGTCTGCTATGTATGAACTTACTTCTGCTCCTCTTATTGGAGGGCTAGTGGGCAGAGCAAAAAACTCCTGCCAAGCCCCCACTTAAAAGAAGTCTCAGAAGCCCAGCCAACTCTTGATTTCCCACCAGATGCACTGTTTGGAACCGACTCTACCATCTTCATGCCCCTACCAGGGTATACTCCTCATCCCAATCAGCTTTTCAGCTTCCTTATTTTTGCATTGTTTTCCCCCATTAGATTATAAGCTCTTTGAGGGAAGGATTATGTTTCTTTTTCCTATTTGTATCTTAGCACACCGTAGGGACTTAAATGTTTGTTGCATTATATTGTAAAGCACTGCGCTAGACATTGGGAAGTTACAGTTTGAATTAAGACATAGCCTTCCTAGAGTTTCTAGTCTAGTAGGGGGATAAGACAAAATATTTCCTTATAAGCATATTAGACAATTAGAAGAGAAAATGTTCTGTGAGGTCTAAAGAGGAAAGGAGCTGACAGCCAGGCAGGATTAGGCAAGGCTTCTACAGGAGGTGGCTTCTGAGTTGGGCCTTAAAGATCAATAGGATTTCCATAAGGGAAGAAGTTGAATGAGGGTAATTCTAGGCATTGAGAAGGAGGAGAGCAAAAATATTCAAGGTGAGAAGACATGAAGCATGTCTGGTAGGGGGGTGGTGGTGCAGAAAATAATAGGGTTGGCTGCACCATAAAGTATATGGTGGGATTTGAGATAAGGCAAGAAAGGTCAGGTGGCATCTGACTATAGAAGGCTTGAATGCCAGTCAGAGAAGGTTGAACTCTACTAGGTAAATAACAGGCAGTCACTGAAGATTGTTGAACAGAGAAATGACATGATCTAATAGAAGTTTTTGTACAGGATGTTCCAAAGTCTTAGAGCAGTTTTAAACAGTTGAAATTAAAACTGCCCTAAGACTTTTGGGATAATTTCAATATTCAGTTCTCTCTGGTAGATGGCCAACTTCAAGCTTCCAGGCCAGGCCAGCCTCCCTTAGGAGCTGAAAAGCATAGGATGTAACAGGCTGGTTTGGGGAATCAGTGAAAAGTCCTTAGAATAGAACAAATCCAGAAATAGGCAGACTGTGAAAATTGTTTAACATAACAGTAACCAGATGGAATTTACTCCCTTCATCTGGTTATTAGTAACAAGTGGGTGAGCTTTCTAAATGAAAATCCTGAAGATGAAATTTCTTCATTCATGACAAGCCTTTCTGTAAACTCATGATGGAAGATATTGGTCCTTTGAAGAGTTTGATACAGTTTTTTAAAATACTTAAGAGGATGAAGTTATAAATGCAAATGTTTGTTATAGGCCTAGGTCAGGAGTTCCCAATCTTTTCCTAATGAGAAGTTATTTCTGATTTTCTTCAAAGTCTGATGATCATTGAAGTGGCAGGTGGACCACTGAGCAGACAAGCAGTTAACAAGGGGAGGCTCCCCTCCCTTTATACTGGAAATCCCAGCAAGCCAGGTTTTCAGGTTGAGGAGTATAAAACCTATATGCAGGGACCAATTTCTTTCTACTCCTGGCCTATGAAAATGCAGTTTTTTGGCCCTGGAATTGAAGAAATTCATCTAATTCTTAGATTAACCACATAGCTTCAAATGAGATTTCATTTCATGGAAAAGTTCTTTTGTCCCATATTGTGTAGGGCTATTTTTTGGTCTGCCTTGACAGTGGTTTGGCTCAGGGTAGATTTTGATTGAGTAGGACATAGCAAGACCCTTCTATGTGTGCCTTACCTTTGTGGAAAGAGTGTAGAGGGACAGTGTGTTACCCTAGAAATTATACTAGACCTGAAGTGTGCTGATCTGGGTCCAATTGCCAGCTATATACTTTAGGCCCTTAGGCAAGTAATTTAACCTTTCTTAGTACAGTTTCATTTGCAAGGTGAGAAGGTGTTGCTGTGTAATCTTTTAAGGTCTCTTTAAGCTCTCACACTCTATGATCTATGAAAGAGGGTAGTTGCTGGTAACAACCCACTGAGAGAACAATTAGGAAAGGCCTCTAAAGGTAGGTTACAATTTGGGGGTCAGTGATCTAAAAGATGGAATTGGTGTAATTTTGATGCCAGGAAATGACCCAAATCTAGAAATACTCCTTTAGGGAATTTTGTGTAGGTGCTAATATTAAGGTTAGAGAATTTTTAGATAAGAAGTATTCATATCTTAGTATATAATCCTTGTGTCAGAAATTCTCTTGTAATATGATGGGCTTGGGTCACTTTGGGAACCTCTGCTTCTCACACTTGTTTATATCTACTCAGGTAGTATCTAGGAATGTCAGTAGCCATGACAAGCTGACAGTTTCCCTCTAAAAGTCCTCAGGTTCACAAGGCATCAGATATAGAACAATTTTTATTTACAGAGTGAAGAGTGTAGAAAGGACTCACCCTAGAGCCCAGAGAGGATCCTTTTCATCATCTGTGTGACTCACAGTACTGCCCTGATTGCTGATTTATCAGGCAGCAGGGTTAGGGACTTACCAACCCAGCTTTGTGTCCCAGTTACTCCCTATCATTGACTTTCTGTCTATAGATGCAGTTGTTCTTTTTCCCAGGAGATGGTGCTAGCTGTCCAACATCTGGACCAGGAGAGACTAACTGTTATAATACCTTTATCCCAAGGGTCAGGGTGGCTCTAGTTATTTACTCTCTGCTGTTGAAGTTTTTAGGCAGTTGCTCCTTTTCAGGAATTTGGCTTAAGTTTCTTAGGGGATTCTGAACCAGGGGAGGTACTGACAATGTCCTAACTCCTCATGGGCAGGATGACACCAAAATACTTAAATCTTTCTTGTTCTTTGATGTGTTCTATAGAAGACCCTTTTCCCCTCCCAGAAATGAGAACAATCACCTTCCCTTGTCAGTGATTTGCACAATCAGAGCCTGTATCTTTTCCTTCTTCCCCAGACCACAAAGGACTTGCTCAGATGCTGTGAGAACCATTTTCTTTTTGCCCTGCTCAAATGAGTCACCATTTTCTACTCTTGCACACATTTGAGTGAATTTTCACTTATGTGCCCCGTCCCCTTGCTCTTAGGTAGGGTACTTCCCACCTGCTCAGTATCTCTCACTGAGTTTTGACATTCAAAGAGGTCTTTCTTTACCCCCACTCCCTACTTGTCTTTCCATTTCCTGTCTTCCTTAGTGGTAATTGAGCCTGAACATGCAAATTACTCTGAACTCAATGAGCCTTGAGAAATCACTGAAGGCAAAACAAGAGCAGGAAGGTCACATGGGAAGTTCATACGACGCCCAATAGGGGTAGGAAGCAAAGGAGGAAAGCAGTTATTTATTTCATATGCACAGGAACATACTAGCCCAAATCCAAGCAGATAACATTGACCAAAGTTGCCTAGGTGTTCACATCAACCCTGGCTAATCTTTGTCCACAGTTTAGGAGCTGCTTTCCTATTACTCTGGAAGCCTCTACTTTGGATTGTGATTCTAAAGGACCCTCACTCAGACACTTTAATGCTGTAATCTTATCTCCCTTCAACTCCCAATGACATAGTAAGAGATATACTAATATGGAATTGCTACCAATACTTAGACAAAGTTTCATTCTTGGCATATCTATGCTGGCAAGCTAAATGGATCCGGAAAAAAAGATTTCCATCTCTGGTTATCTCCGATTCTATCTTTTGACCTAGGGCTCTCCAAACAACAGATTATGATTCAGTAGATCAGAGCCTTCCTAGAAAGGAGGGGGTATCACTTCGCTTTGTCAGTAATTTGCACTCTCAGTGCCTATATCTTTTCCCTCTTCCATTCCTATGCCTAGAGAGCAAGTCAAGTCAACAAGCAATTATTAAAAGCCTACTTTGTGCCAAGCACTGTACTGATCAGACTTTGGGGAAAACAAAAGTAGCTCCTCATTAGGAAGAAGCTAGGGAACCCAATTATAATTGGGTTGATAATTGACCTTCATAATTAATTACACAGAAACAGACTTCAACTCAACATCTGTGAAGTTCAACTCAACAGCATGTTAAGGGAAATCTCCTTAACAAAATTTGAATGGGCAGAAAATATCACTAAGTTCTTCATCCATGAAAATCTCTCAGTAGAAGTTAAATGACCAGTTAGGAATGTTGTTAACAGGATTTATATTTTGGATGTACCTTGGACTA